GCGCACTAGAGGCGGTTTAGCCAATCACAACACACTGGGCTAGCTAATCAATCAGAGCCCATCGCCTATTTCTGAGGGCGGGGCTTCATAAAAACAGGAAAAGATCAGCCCGTTTCTCAGAGAAGGGACAGAGAGGTGTGGAATAAAGGTAAATTATGTGAAAAATAATGCGTTTTTTTTTTTAAACGAAGCATTAACACATGTTAGACTGCACCCCATAAACACAATCAAGCCTAGAAAAAACCCAGTGAACCACCCCTTTAAAGACTTACACTTTAATACCACTTCGATGAAGCGGGTAACTCACGGGTCTCACACACACACACACACACACACACACACACACATAAACAAATGCACTACAGAAGTGGGAATAATGCAAAACTGCTCAGAAATCGTCATATGAGCAACAAAGGAGGAATGAAACGGAGAGAGATGCTGGGTGATGTTGAGGGATGAACTTTAAGTAGAACACAAGAATACAGTCTTTCATTAAGAAAAAAACACCAAGCATCAATATGACAACACACTGTGTCGCAGATTCTTTTCCCAAAAGCTTTGCATTGAATTTCCCCTTCTAACAGAGTGGGTTTTACAGGCTTTCTAAGGTTCAATTTTCATCTTCATAGGAACTTTCAGGTAGGGACTCATAATATTAATTTTCGCTGTGCTCCATTTCACAGGTTGGGCTTCCCCATGATGCTGATGACCTGCACGATAGGCATGTGCTACCTGCTTGCAACTCACATCGGACTTCGCTGGAACACATAAACGGTCCCTCTACATGGGTAAGCTAAAAGACTTTGGGTGTGTCTGCAGTTTGCTTTGTGTGTGTGTGTGTGTGTGTGTGTGTGTGTTTTGAATGACACATCTGTTCTTCTTGGAAGGATCCATGTAGACCTGGTTCATCCGGAGGGACTAAGCTTTACATGCAGGAGAGGTACAGAGACGATAAACCATGTGAACATCTGATCATCTGCTGTATACTTACAGGTGTATCACACTGCTATGGTGCTACTGCTGCTTTGTGATAATGCTACAAAGTGAGAGGTTTTTGGAAAACCTGTATATTTTTGCCAAAAAATGCAGAAAACCAGAAGATTCCTTTTTTAAAATAAAAAATATGCTTATATTATTTATTGATGCACAGTTTGAATTATGACCTTTTCATTTTTGAGGCATCTGCTGAAAGGGATCTTCTGTGGCCCACAATTGTTGAAATGTTGGACGGTTTAGAATTCTAAAAATGATATAATTTACATAATTTACCATATTCAGATAATCTATATAGTTATCCATTCATTTCATGTTGAAAATTTTGACCCACCGATGTGTGCTTATAAATTGAAATGCAAAGGTTATATATATTATATTAAATATATTATAATATTATTCATAATGACTTTCACTGCACCTTATAATCTGATTTATGTTGTACTGTAAATAATTGTAACCACATATATAACACATTATAATGCTTACTTAAATGTTGATCACAAATAACAATGTGTGTTTAATGCTCTTTAAAGGTGAATAGTGAAAGGTAAATATTAACTGGTTACAGTTGTTTACAAGTATGAATGTGAATACTTTTATAAAAATGAAGACCTCTATAATGCATTATACAGTGCATATATAGGATATAGTGTGGATATAGGACACATAGAAAGGGTTACCACTGGGGATGTTGCCAGGCATTTGGTTTGTTTGCATCAACAAGAAAATCTTGCATCTGATTACAAGGAGAGAGTTTATGTAATCAGTGATGCATTAGATGTTTTTTAGTCAGTTCCCACCATTTTTTCTAATTTAATTTGGGCAATTCAGCAATGACCTAATTAATCATTGCTACACTCTAAAAAATGCTGGGTTGTTTCAACCCAACTTTGGGTCAAATATGGACTAACCTAACTTTTGGGTTAAAAATTGAATGTAAAAATTTAACCCAACGGCTGGGTTAGTCCATATTTGACCCAAAGTTGGGTTGAAACAACCCAGCATTTTTTAGAGTGTATCACAATCCACGACAGAACTACCAGCTATATTGGAATTAATTATGTAAGTAAATCTATGCAAATAGGCCACCGTATAAGATAGGTCCTTCCTGAAACTGTATTTAAGAATTCATTTATGTGTAGATAAATAATAAGCAGTAAATTATAACTTCACTTTAATGTGTTTGATTTTTAATTGATTATACTATAGTACCATGTAGGCTACCTGTAGAGGTTACATTTGAGGATAGTTATAAATAATAAATAATAGTTGTAAATAATATAGTCACCCAATTCTTTGTAACTCATGTTGCCCCTGGTGGATTTTTTATTTTTGCCCATTATGAGCACTTGATGAAGACCTGTAAAGGATGATCAGTTGGTTGCTTGTCTGTATGTTCTGTTACTGGGACTAACAACCATTGTACAGTAAAAAAAAAAAAAGTTTGTACCATAAAACATCACTTGAGAATTTTGAGTTTCAATGTCTTGTAGAACATTTTGTGCACCAGTTACATGTTCAAATATCAGAACATATCAGACAAAGCATCTCAATCACACATGGGAAGAAACAATGTATTCGATTCATGATCACTGATCTGATATCAAATTTCGGTTTAAAAGAGAAAAAGGCATTACATCATGAGACAACTTCTGTAGTGCTTTGATTGGCGTCAGTTGCTGTAGGTTCACTTATGCTTCATGTGCAGTAATTGTGGGATATGCAGAGCATGACAAGTGGATCAATAATTGTAATTTGCCCATTTGTTTGTCATCACATGTCTGCTGCATATCTTGAATGCACATTATCAGTGAGTGAAGTTGAGCATGCATATCACCACACTACTACAAGAAACAGCTGGAATGCTGGAAGTGCAGGAAATGAATTTGGCAAACAGGTGCTGATTACATCCAGCAGCCATGAAATGTCACAGGCAACACTGGGCAATGGAGCAGTCACTCAGAAACCAGAATGCCTTTGCCTATTCCCTTGTATACATAAATTCCTAAATTCTTTTTTTCTGTTTTGGGGAGTTTCTATGCTATAAAGTACATCTTTAATTCATAAGAGGCAGTGAAATGCTACAAATTTAGCAAAAGCATGTTTTTTGTCAGTCTCAAACTTCAAATACTTCTGATCCATCTAAAAAAATTTACTCCGAGATTTAATATTTTCGAGGGAAAGCGGAGATCTTTATCTTTTTAGCAACATTTTTAAGTCACCACCCTATGTAGGATTTTCTTCACAAAGACAAATGCATTTCTGCAACCTAAGAAAAAAAGGCACATAAAAAGTCAACATTTATAAATGTACAAAAAAAAAAATCATATTTATGGTATGTCAAACAATAACAAAAAGTCTATGACAATTTCTTTTGACATTATTCTGACTTTTTATTTCATGATGTATGGCATGATAACACTGCTGAGCATTCGCAGAATCCACTGCATGTTTCAGTCTCGTAGAGCATTAGCATTCGGAGTTATTTCCTTGTAGTATCACTGTGACACATATGAAGCAAAATAAGACTTAAACTAGAACTTAAGAAAAATGTTGAACTGTCCATTCAAAACACTTTCCATCAAACGTATAAATAATGTTTTTGAAATGTTAAACAGTTTCCTTTTACACAGCAATGCTACAATTTTTGCATTTCATTTCTTGATCGTTTGAGTTTTGAATCTTTGTAAGCAATTTTGTCAGCTGGTTCAATTAGTTTCCAGCTTATTGTTCCCTTGACGTTCTATCAAACAAGGCAATGCACAGATTTATAGGGTAATGGTTGCGGAGAATAGCTTTTAACATGAGGCATTATGCTTCAGAAATGTCCCCGGGTCTACAGGCTCTTATTAGAAATGCGTATTAAATGGTGTATTGCAGAATTTGATGGAAAGAGTTTTTTTTCCTGATACCACCAGATTTACATTTTTAGCTATACAGCTGCTGTTTAACTATGTCCGTGCCTTTTTTAAAAGTACAACAGATACAAAGTAAAAAAGTTACAAAGCGTTAATAATAAAACAACAATCTTTAGCGAAAGTGTATTCAAACTGACAGAACAATGTTATCAAACTGTAATTTGGAGAATGCACTTCCAGTTCACTTCTGCTTGGTGATTAAGTCTGTTCTGTAAATGCTCTAGTTGCTTTCGGCTGCCAGATTAGACAGAAGTTAGCTACAATGAAGGGTCAAGATTGTTACCAGGATTATTGGGTGATTGAGGGAACGTGTAGTGTGTTAGACATTTTACCAGTGCCGCCGCCTTTTTATTTTATTTTTTTTTTAAGGGCATTAAAAGCGTGAAATGGACAGGAATATTTCACGTCACAGCTCAGTATTGTCACTAACTAACAGAGGGCTTGGGACTGTGTGTGAATCCCATCTTGTGGATGTCATATCCCTCCAACTGCAATGTGATATGAGGAAAGATGGCAGATTTCAATCCGTGCCCAAGTCTGATTTCAAGTGCCAGTCAAACAACTGTTAGTGGAATGAATGGCTTCTGAAAGTATCAAAGAACCTCTTTGTTACAAACATGTGCAATATGCAAATTCATATTTTTTTAGAAATAGTTTTATATATTATATATCTATAATATACTGCAGTATATAATGTTTCTGTACCAATACATGTTCCTGCTATTCTGTAATACTGTCTGTTTCTTGGATTATTGAGATTTAATTTATAAACTCTTTATGATACAAACTCTTCTTGATTCTGAAAATGTGAAGGCCATGTTGCTTTGCACGCCTAATATGATTCAATCCCAAGCCTTTTTTTCTCTTGTCACACAGACGTTTGAAAAACAGATGTGTCTCCATGTCACGAATGCTTTCATCAGTATGAAAAACAAAAAGGGAACTTTTGTTTTTGCAGTTTTTTATACAGAATAAAGCTGATAAAGGCCTGACTTGGAATTGTTTTGTGGTGTTGCCATGTCAGTCCCTTGGGAATTTCACAATTGATGCAGCGTCCTTAAAGTATTGTGTTTTCTGTTTTATTTCACAGAAAAATTGCATTGTTTTCTGTTTCTTTCTTGTTTCAAGTGAAAATCACATCTCTGAGACGGTGAGGTTGGCAGGAAATTGCATTATCGAAGGCTTAAACAGGCTTTTGGGTGGTGGCAACAAAGCACATGAAGATACAATTTCATTATAGCTAAACTGATGCAATTTTGTCCTTCATTTCAGTGTGCCCCTCTCCATTTCTTTCTTCCAGTTTAGCCTTTCAAGGCTTCATATGCAATGTAAATGCCATTTAAAGAGCTAGATCTGCGCCCCAGCTGCCAGCATTGATTAACGTTAGTTAGCACTGAATGAGTCATTATTGTGGTGTTACATCACCCACTATCTAATCTATGTGCTTTACGCTTGTTTGAGGGCTGATCCCTAAGGGAGGGAAGCATTTGGCTCTTTTCCAACCTTATATTCCAGTAGATTTAGTTCTAGTCTGTGAATCACTCTAAAGTCTTGCGTGTGAGAACAATGTTGCTTGAGCTTGTCAAATGTCATTCAATGCTGAAGCCGCTAAACCCACTGACACCAATTATATAAATGTTATAGATAGTCTCCTTTCTCACTCATTGGCCGAGAAGGTTTTTACATTAGTTGATTTACACAGTTGATTTACTTCAAACCTGTGAGTTTTCAGAGCATAAAATGAGTGCCAGGTGTTGTCTAGGGAGGTGTATTCCAGCTAGTCCAGGGGTGCCTGAAAGTACACCGTTTGTGATATATACACTCACTGGCCACTTTATTAGGTATACCTTACTTGTACCGGGTTGGACTCCCTTTTGCATTCAGAACTGCCTTCATTCTTCATGGCATAGATTCAACAAAGTGTTGGAAATTACTCAGATATTTTGGTCTATATTGACATGATGGCATCAAACAGTTGCTGCAGATTTGTTGGCAGCATATCCATGATGTCAATCTTCCATTCCACTACATCCCGAAGGTGCACTAATGGGTTTAGACCTGGCAACTGTGGAGGCCAGTTGAGTATAGTGAACTCATTGTCATGTTCAAGAAACTAGTCTGAGATAATTTAAGCTTTGTGTCATGCGCCTCATCATGCTGGAAGTATCCATCACAAGATTGGTACACTGGGGTCATAAAGCGATGGACATGGTCAGCAACAATACTCAGGTAGCCTGTGGCGTGTAAACGATGCTCAGTTGGTACTAAGTGGCACAAAGAGTGCCAAAAAGATATCCCCCACACCATTACACCACCACCAGCCTGAACCACTGATACAAGGCAGAATGGATGCTTGCTTTCATGTTGTTTACACCAAATTCTGACCCTGCCATCTAAATGTCGCAGCAGA